CGCCTCTCATCGAGAAAAGCTTTGGCAACAAATGAATGTCTCTTCAAAGCCAGAAACTCCACTCGCATTGGAAGAAGCGCCATGGGTCTAGTACTGAGCTACACACCTGAGCGACCAAGCAAACCAAGAGACTGACAGCAGACCGCATACGACCAACGTGCTTGTCCGCTTCAGCGTGGACCGACGCGAGCGTTGTCTGGTTGGTTTTGGACGTTCCACGCGGTGGGCGTTCCTCTGGCAAAGCAAGGAAAACACTAGGAAAACAATACTTGTTTGCACAAACTTACATATGTGGTGGGGTCATCATCCATGCAACGCTTCAGAAGATTGGACTCACCTGGCTGTTCTTGATGAATCATGATGAATGTACAAGGATAATGTACAAGGAGCATCTCTCCACCAAAGAAGCTCATGACGTGCAACTTTGGACGCTGTCTGCAGCCGTTGTCTTTCTGAGCTATTTGCTAACATGCACCTGAAAAAGAAACAAAACAACACACATGGTTTGCAAAAGGCATCACAATGACTTCGTGACTTGTATTTTGCGCCAGTTTCAACTTGAGACATTAACGGTATGCAACTACTAATAACACTGTATAAAACTACTTGGGACATTCACTATATAAGACACTATACAACTACATTGATTATATGACCTTGAGACTTCGAGAACTCGCAGATTTCAGCTTGTGTCTCAAAGGTGGGGCCGGAGGTGGGCCGGTTGGTAGTCTGGCACCCCGCCATGCCCTGCCGAACCACAGCTCGACCCAGCAGTCTGGCACCCAGCCACGTTTATAACCCCCGTCAGGCCGCAGGCCTGCCTTTCCTCTTTTCCAAATCTCACATCATCACAGAAGATTTACAAAGTAGCAGTCCAAATTCGCACATCCGAAGAGCAAATGACAGGAAAAACAATGGTAAACATTACTGTATATATTCTACTCTATCAGCTTTCCAAAGTGGCTACAGTTAAACATCTGTCGCCACCTTCAACTTCGAAGAAAACACATCATTGTTTTAAATATGTCCACAAACAGAAATGCTCGGCGAAGAAAGAAACACCTTCGGCGAAGAAATTCCGCGTTTTCGCCAGAATGTCCGCCCTGGCTTGGGATGGCTTTGGAGAGTGGCTTGAGCAGAGGTCGATCTAACTGCTGGAGGCAACGTGGCCTTGGACGGTGACGGGGGAGTCCGGAGTCCGAAGCGAGTCCGAAGCGTCCGACCGACGTAGCGCCGAACAATGCCACTTGTTGGATACTGTTTGGTGGATGTTGCTTCGTTTGGAGGTCAGACTGTTGACCGTTTTAAACGACCAAATGGATGGTCAAAGTGGGCACATGCAGGGTCATTCAAGGGGCAGGTTGAGTATCCAAAATGATGGACAAGGATGGCGGACAGACCTGCACTGCAAAGGAGGAGGTTCTGCCTTGAGAGCCTGCACTGTCCAAGCAACTTGAAGGACAACCTGGTCAAGTCTTGAAAAATTGGTTCTGCTATACGGGCAGTGAGGCGTGTGATCAGGAGTTTCCCGAGGGCACGTGATTTTAGATCAGGAATTTGAAGAGGATTTTCTTCGGGTCAGTCACTTTTCTCTCCGGGAAGCGCTGCCAGTGCCATGGATCCTTCGTCTCAGTGGAGATCTCCCCGGGGGAGATCGACCGGAATCGGGAATTGGCCGGGAAAAAGAAGCACCACGATGCGAATCACTGCTGGGCATACAGTGGTTGTCAGATTTTATGCAACAACACTTCGATGATTGGCCTAATTACAATAAGTCCGAATCTAATTGGCCTAATGAATTAGGCATGAATGATTCCCAACATCGTGACGCATGAGCAACCCATCGTGCCCCCTAAAACCTGTGACCCTCTGCAGGTCTCTGCCGGCCAGTTCGCCCGCGGCCCTGGCGAGGCGGAAGCATGGGAGGTCCGGTTTGAAAGAGAAGACACATGGGGTCCGGCGGGTCTGGAGGGTCTGCGTTCCAAATCAAAAAATCACCCCTTCGAGGTCGTTCAGAACGAATCACTATACTATCATTGGAAAGAGCCTGTGTTCAATGTTTCTTAAAGAAAGGAAATCAGAAAGTTTCAGAAAGTTAAAACAAAAAGTCAATTTGCCCAGATCCGACATTGTTGTTTGACTTTTGTTCGGCTTTTGTTATTCTATTTGTGTTTTACTGTGTTTTTTTGAGTGTTTTTTTGACTTGTTCGAGTGGTTGACATTTTTTTGATTTCGCTTTACTTTTTCGAGTTGTTTATTGAATTTGACTGTTTTTGACTTTTGTTCGATTGTTTTTGACTTTTTGTTTGACTTTTTCGAGCTGTGATCTATGGTTGATGTTTTTTGCCTTTATGTTGACATTTTTTCCGACTTTTTTGACTGTTCAATTTGATATTTTTTTGACTCTGACTTGTCCACTTGACTGTTATTTGATTTTTTTTTCGACTTTTTTAAATCAAGGATTCTGGCCTTACCATGTGAAAGTTACCATTTCTTCCTTCCTGTGGTGTTTTTACTCGACGGAGTGGCCTTAGCTTAGGACGTCCAGCCACCTGCGGATTCTCTTAGCCCATGCCGAAAGTGACACCCGACACAAGTACTACAGGACTGCAGTCATTGTCATGTCGTGGAAGCTATAGGACCTATGTCCACAGTTCCTGAAAGCACCCAAGTTGGCCACAACTTCTAAAGTCAGCAACATCTCTGCACCAGTTTTGATTCAGAATCCCATTGTTTCCTGGATGCTTTTTTCAGGTACGGATGCCCGGATGCCCTTTTTGTTCGGGTCCCAGGGAACCCCTGTGGACACCTCCAAAACTCCACCAGAATCCATCTTGAAGGAAGCACCACGAGCATCACCCGATCCAGAACTCCATTGGAGGGTCCACTTGAGCACCTCTACCCAAGGTGTCCTCACTTTCCAGTCCTCAAAAGTGTCTGCTTCTTTCATCTGGGAACCCTCGACCATGTCCGTTTTTGGGTGCCAGGCGATGCCTGGTGGAGGCGGATTTTCGGCGATTTGGTCCTTGGTCACTTGGAGGATCGATGGCAGGGTCAGATGGGGTTTGGGTGCCGGATTCCTTGGGGCTTTGGGAATCCCATTCTCGCTGCAACCACCAAACTCTAGAACAAGCATGCATGACGAATCATCTCCAGTCATCTCCTGTGCGGCTGACAGGGTGTGGCTGACAGGAGTACCCCCAGAAGGAATGACGCCTTTTGACCTGCGCCTACACAGCAGATTCAATTTTACTGTACCTACATTTAATCTGCTGTCTTTTTGCATCGGACCCACCGTCCTGTATTTTGCGTGAGACAAACAAAAGCAGGGTCAGAGTTCCACAAATTTCTACACCCGATTAACTTATATTTATATATATATATAATATTGAAAAACAAATTTAAGGTGCAAAAATTTGACGGCAACATGTGGTGCACAATGGTGCACACGAATAATGGGAGTTTAAAGGGGACAGTGTTTTACATGCACTACGAGTCAACTAGTCAACAGGCGAGTGTCTTCACGCCAGTGTAGCGGGCCCAGGCCCTGTTGGTGTTCCTTTCTTGCTGGCATAGATATCATGATATCATAGATTGGGTCTATCCTAATTACCAGTGGATGATGGTTCAGTCGCAGGCCTTGTTCAAAAATAGAAAAACTTATCAGAAGATATCAAACGAACTGGCTGCTACAGGACGCCTGTTACATGGTTACGGATACAATGCTACCCACTACAGGACAACTGCGCCGTCCGGTCTGAGGCCCCGGTCCCGGCGGAGTAGCATGCCACCCCATGGACCCAAGAACCAAACACGACGTACAGAAGTGGCATGCTGCAATCGTACATATTCGGACCGTCGACATGAGGTGTTTGGCCGTCTGGGTCTTGTAATTCGGACTGACATGTTTTTGTTTCACCCCGTGCGCGTGAGCCCAAATCTCTGCACCCGCTGCTGAAGGTTCTGCAAAAGCATCTCCGAGAGGTATATAAGCTTTTCTCCAAGAAGAAAAACCGTGGATTTGCTTATATAAGCAACCAGGAAATCCTAGAAAAAGGCTCCTTGCTGACAACATTCCTGGGTGAGTCTGAGTACTTGGACCCTCAGCGGTCTATTGTAATAATTCCCTGGGGCTCCAAGAAGGTATTTGGACCCTCTAAACCCAAACACCTTCTTACAAAACACCTGCGTATCTTGGTGTCATGGAGAGGATCCAGGTCTAGTATCTGCCTATTTTGTAGGCAATCTTCAGTGATTGTAGCAATCGGGGATGATTCTTCCAAATCTTCAGGTGATCTATAAGCTATGGTCAAATGAGTCAAATGTTCATCAAAGGAAACGGCTAGCCAGCAAGCAGTCTTACTTACCCTTTTTGTTGCAAGACATCTCCTCGCCAAACCGACCAACCGACCGACCAAACAAACAACAACATCCCCAACCCAAAACCCACACAAACGCACAAACAAACAATCAAAACCATCCAAAACCACATCGGTGTCGGTGTTGCGAACCCCACGTGTCGGTGTTTATTGTTGCGATCTGGTATAGTATAGTTACTGACAACTTAGAAAATAAAACCGGTACGGTGAACATGGTGTGGCCTATCCATATCCTATTACCAGTAAGGCTGAATGATGTTGCTTAGTAAAGGACTCCCTAAACATGATGAATTGATATATATATATAATATGAATTGGAAATACGACACGCCGGACACGCCCAAGTCAAACCATCATGGCCCTCCTCCATGCATTGGCGCTGAACAAAAACGTTTTCTGCGGGACCGCTTCTCCCGAACGCGCACAGCGATGTTTTGCCATGCATGTTGTTGCTTTGCATTTGGGTCGACCAAAGAAATCAAGCTGTCATTGTGTACAGGAATACGTAGTTGTTCATCAACGGTCGACCTGACCCTGCCACGAGTTAAAGGGACTCGCTTCCACGGTTGGTATACGGGATTGGTTTTGAGTCGCGCTCCAAGCTGTCCTACTCAAAACCCCAATGTGAAAACATGCGGAAACAGCAGGCATACCAAAAACTCTTGGCATCTGCGTATCGCACCAAAGTATCGCAATCACTGTCGTTCACTCAATCGCAAAACCCCGTGACCGGTCGCGGAGGAGCGACTCCGGCTCCAACGCCTCAGGCGGGCACCTCATGCATGCTGGTCAGCCTGGCGAAAGCGATGCGCCGGAAGAAGCGATGCGCGATGCGGAGGCGGTGTAACGCCAGCGTTCCAGGGGTCTTCACGCCATTCGGTGGAAGCATAGACACTCCATGAGGCTGCCATATATGCCTACATTGACCCGCAAAACCACCCCTGGCCTGATCGGCAGTCCTATGGCAGTCCCATTAGTCGTGTCTGGGTATGTAACTCTTCAGTGCAGAACAGCAACTTGTTTCTGCAAAGAATTCACGAGAAATCACTAAGGTGAGTCTCTGCTCGTCAAGTTGCTCGCCGCTCGTCTCTCACCGAAGAATTAATTCGTCTCTCACATCGCGAATTCCGAAAGCCTCCTTGTGACAGCAAGGATTATCCCAAGAAACATCGGCAGGATTCAGGAGACACTGAAATATTGTGAACTCTTCATGGTCATGAGAATCTATGAAGTGAACACCACCGGCTTTGTTCATGAGGATTTCATGGTCATCCGAAATCGGGGCAAGGCCATCCACGTTGGCCCATGATCTTCCATGATTTCAGGGCTTCCGAGAGTCATGTATCTCAATAAAATTCGGAGCTGTGAACAGCGGCGAGGAGATCCCCAGACCGGTCGAGATCCCCTCCACTGTTCCACTGAATCTCTTGAGGCTCTGTGTGAAGGCTCGGTCAAGGCCGTTTTGTAGCCGAAGCTCGGCAAGAGTGACCGGTGTCACTGGTGTCCCTCACTGGTGTCCCTCTTTCCGCTGCTCCAGTCAGACAGAGCAAATGCTGGCAAAATGTGACAAGGATGGACAAGGACATGGCATGGCCCAGGAAAGGAAAGACCAAACACAAACAAGACGCACCATCCCTTCCCCATAACATTCCCATGGCCGGTCACCGAGGTCTGGATATATCTGGAATCCCTTGCTTGGCACATGCTTGGCCCATGAAACATACACCAAACTCGATGAATCTGTCAAAGCCACAGGTCTGGAAGGCCAAACATCTACCACGACCTCTTTATACCTCATCATAGTTATCTTACAATGATCTTAATTGGATCACCAGCATAGGTTTCTATAATAATATGTCAATGTTATTTTGATTGCTTCGTACTAAATCTGCAGTGCAAAAGTGACCTCCAATCACCTGGCTGCCTCCAATCACCGTGGCCACGCCAGGCCACCCGCACATGGCGTGGATCTCGTGGATGAAGTGCGCGTTGGGCACGCGATCCGTCTCGAAGATCCGCAAGGCCTTCCAGAGCGTCTCGCAGATCCGGCGGGGGGCAGATGGATCGGCCAGGTTTCGACCGCGCAGGTTTCGAACACATGCGACGTGCTTTTATATTTTGGGGGGTAGAGGACCCTGTGGAGGCACAAACTCCACACAGTGGGAAAACAGCAACTCGGAAAGAACAGCCATTTGGGCCATTCTATGAACCTTGGGTTTCTTCAATGATCCCTATACGTCACTCAAAGGACGCCTCAAGTTCGGGAGCGTGCAAAGTCGGTGCACTTGGTCACCTCAGTGAGCAAACCAAAGTTCCAAAAAGCCTCCTTCAAACTGTTATCCACCACCACTGTTTCACAAACGTTAATATAATGAGTACGTAGAACCTTTTCTTTTGCAAATCAGCAGGTATCCCAACTGTTGGTCAAGCATGGTCAAGCTCTTGTCACCTCCCTTTTTGTGTCACCAGTGGTCACTCATCGTTGCACGGCGTTTCCGCCGGTCGTTTCCGCCTGCTGATAGCTCTGCTCGGCCTCGGTGAGCTGCCCATCCGCCGCGTAGACCGTGCCCAGCGCCTGCGAGACAGGTCTCCCGGTTCTCCAAGTGAAGAACAAAACAGTTCTCCAAGGTTCTCCCCATTTTTGCCTCAGGTTTTTGTTGGGAAGATTAAAGCTTGAAAAACCTTTCCACCCTGCATATTCAGTTGGGACATGCTGGAAAATGACGCCCCACAAAAACATGAGGCATGAAGCTAATCCGGTGAACACGACTCGAGTTGGAAAAAAGCATACACAAAGCCACCAAGGCTTCAGGAAGGCTTCAGGATCTTTGTTCTGCATTTGAAGTTGTTTGGTATTATCTTTTTGGTTGATTATAACTATAATTAGACTTGGGTTAAACAAAAAAAAAACATCAGCGAGTCGCTCCAGGAACCCTCCAGCACAACCCCAAGTCCAACCACCAACACCTGGGTTGGTAAGCAACAGCCCTAGAGCAGCCGCTATGCTGACTGTTAGTGACTCTTTGGCAGTTTGGGTTTGTTTTCAGTGTTTGTCAAATGGAGTTAATAAGTGTATATTTTTTGAATAATTGGATGTTTCGTGTGTGGTTGGACTTATCATGAATTTACCTGAGGCCCCCTGCCATCCTTGGCAGGAAACAAACCTTTGAACCCACTTCTCTTTCAGGGTTTTCTTGTGGACAGACTTTCAGGCTTGCGGCTACCTTAATTAATGTCAGGAAGCGCAACTGGCTGGGTTGACCTTGAAGATGTGGTGCACAAATCGCCCACCCTCCCTCCCTCCGTTCTCCCGATTCCAAGCCACAGGCCGCTGGTGCCATTTTGGGGGGGCCCCTCCTTTCTTTGCTTCATGATCTCCCTCTTCCCACGCCAAGAACACCGGTCGACCAGAGAGACCCGCGGAGAGACCGGTCGCTCGACCGTGTGCCTTCAAGGTCCGTGCCACCTGCACCGACCTGGGTGGCACCCGCCGTGGTGGCGCCGGTGGGTGAGGGTGGAGCGACCTCGATATTTGGACTTTTGGAGACCTCACGATGGACTTTTGATGAATCAAGGGATCTAAGATGAAAGAATACACCAACTTGGATTCATCAAGAGTATAAACAAATTTTGTGTTTTGTTGGGGCATGAGACGGATTCCATCAGCTTTGGGCGATCCTTGGTCAATACGAGCTTCTTTCTTTCCTCCAAGTTTTGTGTAGAGTCTTCATTACCTATATAATCCTATATATATATATATCAAATACATTTCAATCTATTTCAACCATCTGAAACAATCTGAACCATGCCCATGCTTAGCATGCTTCGCATGCTTAGCGACTTCGTCGATTTCTCCGACTGCAAAAGTTGTCGATCTTCCGACTGCAAGATGTGGAAGGCTTCGCCCATCTTCGCCATGCGTGGCCCGAGGAAGATCCACCGCAATGCCCCGCTTGATCGGCATGGCCCATGTGTCACAGCAACGATCCACCGCCATGCGTGTTGACACTCACGGCCGGGATCCATTTTTTCCGGGCTCATGTGAAAGCATGTCAAAACACAGAAGCCATTGGCCAACCGTCTGGGTGAGCTAAAGGACGAAGAGCCTTTGCAAACATTGGACCTAGAATCGGGCAATAAGCTCTCCTCACCTCCCAATTCCTCATGCTGGCTTTATACCCTACTATACAATTATAGTAGGGATACGTCAGGTTTTATGTCCAAGCGATGAAATTGTTCACCGGACCTCACAAATGGGAAGGTCCCACCCAAGACCTCCCACCAACCCAACCTCTTTCGGATCTCCAACCTCGAGACCCGCGTGACCGAGACCGGACCGAGACCACCGCACGGTCACACGGTCACCGTGCTAAGCGCTCCACTGAGACCCGTGGAGCCTGGCAATTGAGTTCAGGAATTCCTATCGTGCCAGGCCCGGCTGGAGTTAAATGCAGTTCTCTTCTTGGAGTTTCGAATGCAATGCAAATTTTGGTATGATCATGGTTATAATTAGTCATCATTTGTTTCTTGCAATTTCCAAACAACAAAATCAACTATTGTGGTGTGCACCCGCACGTATCCACTTCAAATCAACCACACAAGCTTTGGCCATCCGCTATTTTGTGCTGCGTATATATATATATATATAGTCCGACTCACTTACATGAAAGTAAATGACATGGCCACTGGTTCCAAACCATGAAATCCGAATACCAAACAGGTGGCCTTCCATGTAACTATGGAACGTGAGTCAAGGCAAAAACTGTTGTTCACCACTTGCGTTTGCGATCATCCTCTTCACCCTAGTGGCATCATTCAACCACACAAATCCTCAAAAAGAGGGGACTGAATTCGCAAATAAAAATGCAAGCAGAAATTCACAGGTATAAAATATTGCAGGCAACACCACAGTGTTCAAAAACCAAGTGACCTGCACATACATACATAAATACATACATACATACATACATATATACATACATACCTACAAACGTACGTACGCAAGTACATACGTAACAATACATACCAATACATACCGTTACATACCAATACATGCCAATACATACCATTGTATAAAACATACAACTACCCCTGCGTTACATTGATTTACATTACATTTACAAAACTATTTAAATACATACATACTTACATACATACATAACATAACAAAACATTACAAAACATTAAATACATTACAAAGCAACAAAGCCTATAACATTACATCACATACATACATACATGCATGCGTACATTAGTTACATGCATGACACATACAAACATTACGTTAAAATATGTTACATTACACTACGTTACATTAAACTACAAACAAACATGCATGCGTCCATAACTACATACGTACATTACATTAAATTACATTACATTACATTACATTATGTTAATACGTTACAACAAACACACACATGCATACATACATACATACATACATTTATGCAAACATGCAAACATAAGTACGTACATGCATTACCTACATACATTCAAACCATACATATATATATATACATACATACTTACATTACATTACAATACATTATATTAAACACACATACATACATACTTACATTACATTACATTACATTGCATTACATACAGACATTGCAAACATACAAACACACACATACATACATGAATACATTACATTACATTACATTACATACATACATACATACATTACAAACATACAACACACATACATACATGAATACATAACATACATACATACAACACACACATACATACATGAATACATAACATAACATACATACATACATACATACATACATACATACATACATACATACATACATACATACATACATACATACAT